TTTAGGGTATATGTAACAAATATACTGTGTATATTAATAGGTAAATATATTAAAAATAACAAAGGGAAATTTATCAAAACATTAATATTAATGAAAATGTCTCTGGATGGTAACAATATGAGTGAACATATTTTTTAAATACATTTTTATTTTTCAAGTTCTCCACAAAGTTTTTAATATAAAAACCTTTTTATTTAAAAAAAAGTTAGCACTGGCCAGTTTAGTTCAGTGGTTAGAGTGGATTGAAGGGTCCCAGGTTCGACTCCAGCCAAGGCCACATACCTGGATTTCAGGTTCGATTCCCAGTCAGGGTGCATGCAGAAGGCAACCAATCGATGTGTCCCTTTCACATTGATGTTTCTCTCTCTCAGCCCCCCCCCCTTTGAAAAGCAGTGGGAAAACATCCTCAGGTGAGGTTTAAAAACACCACACACGCAGTGTCTGAATGTTTGTGTATAAATGTACACGAGCACCCAGTTAGTTTGAGAAAGCAACGGAGCCTGTGCGCATGTATGCGTCACCAGCAATTTCAGAGCCGGCCACTTCGACACTAAAACATACAATTCATGTGCTCTGTGTTTGTCCATTAGTCTTTTCTCTCTAAACTCTCCTAACTGCCTTGTTTTTTTACTTTTTTAAAGGAACTGACACTGAAACTGGTCAGAGTGAATGGGTCACATATATTAAAGTTTTGGTTCTAAAGTGTACAAAATTAGGCCTGTTTCTCTAATTATAAAACAGCCAGGTAGCGATCGACTGAATCACTGCTCACACCACCTTATTTTGTGGCTTTGCAATGGGGACCAGAAAGCAGACCTCATTAACAGACATCATAGACGTCACCCTATGTTGCTTCTTCCGTAGGTGGTAATGGCACTGCTCAAATACTGGCCAAAGACTCACAGTCCAAAAGAAGTAATGTTCTTGAATGAGTTAGAAGAAATTTTAGATGTGATCGAACCATCGGAATTTGTCAAGATCATGGAGCCACTCTTCCGGCAGTTGGCCAAGTGCGTCTCCAGCCCGCACTTCCAGGTATGGGTGTGGGGGCCACGGGGGGCGGGTGCAGAGGGTGGTGAGTGGCTACAGGGTGAGCTCCTGTGGGGTTGGCCAGTGACAAGTTTCTGGGTGTGCAGTCACGTGCTTCTCATGTGATTTGAAGGTAAACTTTAAGTTTTTACTTTAATCACACTTCAAAATAAGATGCTATGGCTTTATTTATTTATTTTATCCTGAAGATATTTTTTCCATTGGTTTTCAGAGAGAGTGAAGGGTGGGGAGAGAGAGAGAGAAACATCGATGTGAGAGAGACACATTGATTGGTTGTCTCCTGCACTCTCCCCAGTCAGGGCTGGGAATCAAGCCTGCAACCAAGGTGCGTGCCCTTGGCCGGAATCAAATCCGGGAGCCGTCAGTCTGAGGACTGACACTCTAACCACTGAGCAGAACCAGCCAGGGCAATGCTAAGGCTTTAATTCTATAAAATATGCATTAGTATCTCGTTTCCATCACTGACAACACTTCTTTATAAAAGGAATTCAAAATGGCTCTCACCCTCACCAGTTTCAGCTTTTGTCATCTCATGGCACATAAACTGCTAAAATTCTGCAGCACACCGAAAGATATATTTTTGCCAATCTGACCAAAAAAAAAAAAAATAGATATAATTTTGATTGGTTTACAAAAAAGATGATAGTAGTAATGACTCTTTTTGCTCCAAAGTTACCCGTTTAAAACTCAGGTGCCTATACATGTACGTGAAGATTTCTGGTACCAAGAATTAACCAATCAGACGCAACCTTATTATGTGATGTGACCAATAAGATGCAGCTCTGTTGTTATGACCTATACATCTATGGTTCAAGACGGCATTCACACCGGGCGGCTATTGTGTTGGCTGTTGTCACTTTTTTAATTTGACAGTCTAAGGGGAAAGAGGCCAGTGCCCCATCTAAATAGGTCAAGTGTTGCGTATCTTAAGTTCTTGAGGCATGCCCGGAGAAGAGCGCCCGTCGAGGGTGTTTTGAATTTGTAGCAGTAACAGCAGCTGTCCTGCGCAGCATCCGGCACTGCCCCGCTCTCGGGCGTCGGAGGGAGGGTGTTCGCTGATCGCTTTCGGTCACGACCCGGACGGGGCGCGCTCTTGCTGTGTTCCAGGTGGCGGAGCGCGCGCTGTACTACTGGAACAATGAGTACATCATGAGCCTGATCAGTGACAACGCGGCCAAGATCCTGCCCATCATGTTCCCGTCCTTGTACCGCAACTCAAAGACCCACTGGAACAAGTGAGCAGGCGGGCCAGCATCGCGTCTACGTGTTGTTATTTATTCCTGTTTTATTTCTCAGTTACACTTTGCATTCAACATTATTTATATTAATTTCAGGTGTAGTGTCTGTGTATTTTTACATTTGCATATTCTACTCTAGTTCAAACCAGTTAGGATTGAAATCCAAGTCTGAGGTATCAGTTAAGGAATGAGAGGTTGATTTCTTATTGGACTTGTAATTAAGTGGGCGTGTGGCCTTTAATTTGCATCCTTGCCCACAGTCCAAATGCACGTGTTCACACCCACGTCCTGGCCGTGAGAGCAGCAGCATCTTGTCACATTCCTTGCAGAGCTCACAGGGCTTAGCCTCGCAGGAGGGTAGGAGTGCAGTGGCCACCCCGGTCTGGGCGCCCTCAAGCTCTGCTGTCACCGCCTGGTGAGCCCTCTGGTGTGACCAGGAACTACCACTGTGCTCCTGCCTGGGGAGCAGGTGATCTGAACGCAGCCTGAGGAATCCTGTGCTTGCTCTGCCTCTCCTGCGACCTTAGCCTCAGTATGGGCACTGCTCACTGTGGCAGGTGGAGCAGATACTCATGTTATTTACAGAAATGTGGGTGCCAGGTGGTGCTTTCTCCTCCCCTCATTTCTCTCCTTTCTGTATTCTAACCAGCAAGTGAGGACTTAAAGCAGGAGGAGCAGAGCCGGGACCTCCCGCCCTGCCCCCTCGTGTACAGGCGAGGCGACAGGACTCCGGGGACAGCAGCCCACCTGCCATCCGCTGGGTCTCGGGTGCCTGCCCACAGCCGACTAAAGCTCCCTGCCAGTCTCCTCCTCAGTGTTTTGTGGTGACTGAGCAGGACGATGTTAGTACACAGGCGCACCTGCTTTAGTGCACCTCATGGGCGTGCTTTTCACAAAACGAAGGCAGGACCCTCCACCTGCAACAAGGTGACAGCTCGCTCTGTGGTGGTGGTCTGGAACCAAAGCCCACATCACCTCGGGGGCTTCGACACAGAGCAGTGTGCTTTGCGGTGGCCTTCATGTTAAGATGGAGTTAACATGTCACAGCCCTGACCACACCCCAAGCCCACTTGCCGCAGTCTTGTGGCTGGGACCATCCTTGAGTTGTCCAGTCGTTGTTAACATGTTAACTTTGAACAGCTCTTGGTTGCGTCCGTTTTTATTGAGGTTAGTGGGTGATTGAGTTCCTGAGCGTGACTGATCACGACCCCTGCCAGTGCCCAGGAAGAAAGGCTCTTACTAGGATTTGGGTTTATTATAAAGTGAATTAGAAAGTTGTTATGGTTTGGAAGTTTAGTTTTTTGTTTTGGATTTCAGTTTAACTACTGTTTTGTTGTTGCTCATTCCGTGGGTTGACAAGACTCCGCTGCACAGTGTCTCTGCCGTCACCAGGGGTCACTTACGTGGCTGCACTGATAACAGCTGGGACATGAGTCACCCGAGGCTCCGTGGGACACAGAGCAGCCAGGCCCCTCCTGTGTGTCAGAGCCCGCAGCGAAGTTTGAGCTGCTCTGTGGCGATTTTATGTTCCACCTACCCGAGCTCTACAGGCATTGTTAAAATTAAGTTTTCTGTCCTCAGTGAGTAAGATTGAAAGGAAACTGACAGTTATAGGAAATGAAATATTTCCATTATTGTCCTCTGCGTAATTCAGTTTGTCTCAGTTATACTTGTTCAAGTTTCTACATCTTTTACTCAGTTTCCGAGTAAGGAGACTTTGGCTGCAGTTAGCCGGGGCCGTAAGCTGAAGGCCAGAGGTCAGCAAGCTTGGCCGTGAGGGAGGCCACAGGCTGCAGGCCGGCTGTGAGTCAAAAGCGCAGCTTCTGTCCTTCGAAGCCGAGGGAGCTTGTGAAATTGGGCTGTTGAAATGGCCTGATGTGTCTGGGTGGAAATGGGTTGTAGCCGAGGAGAAGGGAAGCAGGTAAAAAGATCACATGTTGTGAGTTTCAACATAGAGTTTTATTTTTAGGACAATACATGGCTTGATATACAACGCGCTGAAACTCTTCATGGAGATGAACCAAAAACTATTTGATGACTGCACCCAGCAGTTTAAAGCAGAGAAACTGAAGTAAGTGGCTCCTTTCAAAAATTAACCTTTCAAGGATTTTCCCCCTTAACCCTGAATAAACCTCTCCCGTGGGTTTGTCCTAATGTGTCATCCTTCACTTTAAAGCAAAATCCTTTCATACTTGAAAAGCAAATAAAGACTTTGTTATGACAGCTTATTTTCAGAGCACACAAAGTTAGCTGTTTCCTCCATTATGCTGCTGGTTTAATCATTTTTGCAAAAAGTGCATGTGCAGTCAAGAATGTAACTTTCAGAGTTTTTGCTTTTCTCAGGACACTTCCAGGCTATGACATGTAGTGATTTTCCATGTTCATAGGCAGGAGTTTGAATTGCACTCTGTAAGGTCCCTGTGAGAGAGCAGGAGCCTTCACCTCCACGCACCTGTGTTCCAATTTGGTAACATCCGTACCTCGGGCATTCTCTGAGTCTCACTGTGTCCTTCCCAGAGCCAGGCCCTGGGCTCATGCTGCGCAGGGACAGTCTAAGCGACAGGGCACTGTCCTGAGTAATTATGTGATTGATTAGTTACACCCCAGCTTCAGAGTCAAGTGTAAACCACGGGCAGATTTTATTCTGTGCTTGTCACTTGACACTGGCTAAGGCAAATACACTGGACTGGATGTGATAAACATTGCAGTCTGTACCCAACAGTCATGTTCGTTCTTTACACAGTAAGTGTCTGCCTCTGCCAGGCCTGCCTCGGTTCTGGCAACACAGCAGTGAGCAAAACAAACAAAACTCTAGGCTTTGTGGGGTTTATGGTCTGGGCAGTGTGGAAAGAGGCAGCCAAGTCCAAATACGTAAGATATGGAGTATGAGATACATGAGCAGGGCGGGGCCCCGGGAGGCACAGGGAGTTCTTTTTTTTTTTTAAATATATGTTTATTGATTTCAGAGAGAGAAAGGGAGAGGGAGAGAGAGAGATAGAAACATCAACGATGAGAGAGTCATCGATCAGCCACCTCCTGCACACCCCCTGACCAGGAATCGAACTGCGATCTCCTGGATCCTAGGCGAGGCTCAACCGCTGAGCCATGCCCGGCGGGCGGCACAGGGAGTTCTTTACCCTTCCAGCTGCCTGGTCCCTTCTTGCCGCGGCTGAGTGCAGTGTTCGGGTGTGAAATACAGAAACATCGGGCTTTTCCGATGGCATGCCTTCTCTGAGTATCAGAGTTTTCTGAAAGGGACCCTGACGACCACGTAGCACATCTTCTGGATTTACAGAAAAAATTGAGTTCAGTGACTGAAGGTGATGTGACTCATTAGCAGCACTGCTCCTTTTTAGTGTCATCAGCGTTGGGATGTCGGCCCTTCTCACCTGGGTCCCCTACCACTGTGGTGTGGCCTCACTTTCCGCGGAGATGTCAGCTTCCCGTCTCCTCTGTACGCCCTATGGGGAAGCAGCTAAGCGGGAAGGATGGACGCAGAAGTACTTTCACACGTGTTTTTAAGAACTGACGTTCTCAGACTTGTCACAATTTTTGCTTTTTGCTTTTTTTTAATGTTTTTCCTCTGAGTCTTGGTGGTTTTTTCATTTTGCTTTTCGTGCCGCGTATGTTGCGGTCCCCACTGTGAGGGAGATGGGACCTTGGCACTGCCCGTTCAGAGTTTTCCCCTTTCACGGCTCCTTGCATTTGATCGTCTCTAACACCAAGGACATTTTACTGTTTTTCAGAGAGAAGCTAAAAATGAAAGAACGAGAAGAAGCGTGGGTTAAAATCGAAAGTCTAGCCAAAGCAAACCCCCAGGTACTGAGAGACTCGAACGGCCGCGGGTGTGGGTGTGCCTGGCTGTGTTTGTAAGTCGGGCCTGCAGCTTCATCGTGGGAAGGAGGGAATCGGGTTCTCTGGCGTGTGTGAGACAAGCCCCAAAAGAATCACTTTTCCACTTCATACCAGTACTTATTTTGCCCCAAAAAGTTTTTGCCACAGGATTCACATTTTTTCTTCTGCTTTTTAAATAATATCGGAAACTGACGAATATACTATGGTAAGAAAAAAAACAGGATGCAGGCTCTGTTTGGGCCAAGATTGTAATTTGCTTTCTCTCACGAATGTCATAGATGCTGTAGCTCAAACTATGATTCGCTTCTTTTTAATGTCAGGTTCTGAAAGAAAGGAAAGGAGACTTGGAACAGATTGAGCACAAAATCTGTATCCTCTTTCCTAAAATTAGGTTCCTGTAGGCTGAGCCTTTTTTTTAATATGTCTTTATTGATTTCAGAGAGGGAGACGGAGAGGGAGAGAGACACATCAGTGATGAGAGTCATCGATGGGCTGCCTCCTGCACGCCCCCTGCTGGGGATCGAGCCCACAACCTGGGCCTGGGCCCTGACTGGGAATCAAACCGCGATCACCTGGACCATAGGTCGATACCCAACCGCTGAGCCACGCTGGCCGGTCTAGGCTAAGCCTTTTGTTGTTTAAAAAGTTGCCTGACTTCTGCCATGTGAGCTATTGGCCCTTTCCCCCATCCCAGCCGGGAGGGTCCGTGCGCTCTGGCAGGAGAGCACAGATGCCTGTCTTCCAGAGCAGCCAAGCGTGGAGCCGTGTCCTGCGCAGCATTAGCTCTTGAGTCGGCTCCCAGGGCAGCCGGGCTCTGGGGGCTGGAGTTGTGGTCTTTGGTGTTCTGTCTGTGGGTCCAGGTGACTGGAGCCCTGTCGCTGCAGAAATTCCTGTCAGTCATCACAGGGCCTGGGCTTCCTGAGAAGCGTGTGTGTGTCTTTGGCATGTTGAGAATTCTCAGGCTTTCTCCAACTCCCCAGGAAAGAGAAGATTTTACTTTATGAGGAGAGTTTCTCAGCTACCCCCAGGACCCTCGTTGGTTCAGTGAGGTGAACTAGATCATGAGCGATCGTTTCCTTTGATGAGAGATGCACATAAGTACCTATTACCTAAGTTTCAGTTAGTGTGTAGGTTTTTAAATCTCTCTCACATTTAATAAAAAGCGATACATGAATATAAAGTTAAGAGCATATATTTTACTTATATAATAACATTGATTTGTATATCTTTTGCTAAAACTACAGTCAAGAGACTTAAACCATAGGAAAATTGAGTGACATTCTTAATTATTTCCTTGATTCCACCTAACACAAATAACCAGCATCATTCTAACAATATTTATTCCATGCTGTTACATCAAAATGCTATTTTAAGATTTCTGTGAAACTGTACAGTACTTGATTTAGTAGATAGCTATGGGTACCTGCTTTAAAAAATAGAGTTTATGTTGAAAGTAAGATTAAAATACTGACATTTGTTTCAAAGTAGAGTAAAGCCATAAATCTGGGCAGATGTAGGTGCAGAGGGCAGTCGGACAAAATCCCCGCTAGGGCTGTCGGGACCCGACCCTAACCCATCACACGCACACTCGAAACCAGCCAACCCCCGGGAGGGCAGGCGACATAGGTACAAATCAGAGTCTGATCTTACTGGTTTTACCTAGAATATAGACATCACCTCAGAGGAAGCTGCGTAAACTTTAGCAGCTTAGTGACGAGGGGGGTGCTGGGTGACTGCGTTCACCGCAGAGCCGGGACAGGTGTTCCTTCTGAATGTGGGCTGGTCTGGCCTCTCCCGGAGCTTTCCGACGTCACATTCCTGTTCCCTGTGGTTGCTCTCTTTACAAACGTCTCGGTGCCCAGGGCAGTGCGGAGAATCCTCCTGCCCTCCGAGCTGTCCCGACGCATCTCTGTGTCAGTACCATCTGTGCCTTGACCCCAGCAAACCTGTCTGTGTGCAAACGGAAAATACTTCATGGCCAACCTCAGGGCTAGAACCCAGGGCCTCAGTCTCGCTGCAGTTCCCTCGAGAGAAAATCTTTCCCAATTCCAATGACTGCTGCCATTCACGGCAAAAAGTAAATAATTTGTTTCTTATCTCTGTGACAAAAATAGTTGGGTTTCTGAAGCTTGGTTCTCGATCTCAGATCTGCCTTTTTGAGAATTAATAGCTTCTTTTGTTAAGGCAGACTCCCAGTAATTCACTGTTCACTGATGTGTGTCAAGAAGCCTTCTGGACAGCTCCTGTTTTTTACAAACCAAGTGTTTTGTGTTCTGGCAGCCACATGCTATGGGTCCCTGTGGGGGCGGGAAAGGGGTGCCCTCCGAATTCTTAGTCTGCTCTGGCGGTGGTGGCAGCTTGTGGGGCTGGTGTGGCCTCCGTGGCATGTGTCCCTTTCCCCCTTTGTGAACTTGAGCCTTGATGGAGGTGTCCATCCCTAGTAAGGACCCTGTCCTGCCACGTGACTTTGATGTTGCTGTGACAGTTTCGTCCCACCCTTGTTGACACTGTTCTCTGCCCTGGGCCCAGCGAGGGCGCGGCCAGGCTCCCTGGAGCACCCTCTGTCTTCACTCAGAGGAGCCGGAGCTGATGCTGGCTCAGTGCATCAGACCCCAGTATGGGGATGAGGGGGCCAGGTGGGAGTCCAGAGGTCAGGTCAGGTGGCCAGAGTGTAGCGCACCAAGTGATGATGGCTGGGGGCCATGGTCAGGCTTCGTCGGTCTGAATCCGGGGAGGGGGCTCACGTCAGAGAGAGAGGACAGCAGCAAAGCCGAGTTGTTCAGCACAGGTGGCCTCTGGGCCACTGCTCTTCCTGGAAGCTCACCGGGGCGATAGGAGGTGAGGGAGGCCAGAGGGCAGGGGACACCATCCTGAGGCAGATTGAAGGATGCCAGCTGCCCTCACTGCCCCCTCCGTGCCTCAGTCCTCATCAAACACTCCATAGCACCCACTTCACGGGTCTGTCGAAAGATGTGGAAACCCCTAGAATAGCACCCAGCTCACAGCAGACTTGTGGGTTCCTTCCTTTCCCTTTCCTCACCCTGAGAGAAAGTGGGCACTAGATGCTAACAGTAATCCAGCTGTTTCTGTCCCTTGGCTCAATTAACCGTCCCAACAACCCTCTAATATTATCCCCATGTCACAGTCAGGTGAACACAGTCCCAAAGGCCCGTCTGCAATTCATACCAAGCCCAGAGCCCAGGGACAGTGGGGAGGTGGCAAGGGAGCCGCTGGGAGGCCTGTGGGGCTAGGCCCCACAGACAGGAGGTCCTGGACTTGGGGGTACACTGGTCCTTCCCTGCAGTGCCACTTGGGTGGCAGCTGGGCAGTTTGGGGGTGGAAAGTGTGTGGTCCATGGTGGAGCTGAAGCAAGTTAGGAAGATGGAGTAAAGGATCCAGGAAGGAGGATGTGAGAGGAAGGGGAAAGGGCCTCCATCGGCAGGCGGTATGCAAAGGTTGAGAGGTTAGAGGTGGCGTTTTCAGCATGGAGCGGGCCCCAGTGGCTAATGCAGGGCATGTGGAGTCAGGACACCAAAGGCTGCAAGGCAGGTGTCCACCTGCCCCCAGCCCCAGGGAGAGTGGAGTGACCAATGAGACCAGCTCTGCCCGCCCACCCACCTGCGGCCAGAACTGTAGGGACTACAAGTGGTCTGCGGCAGGGCTGGGCCCTGCAGGCAGAGGCAGCAGAGGGCCCTGGGGGTGGGGGTGGGAGGTTGTGCCCGACCAGGAGGAGACCCTGGCTTCAGACCCCGGGCACTAACAGAGAGTGTCCACACTTTGCATTGCAGTACACGGTACTTAGTCAAGCGAGCACCATGAGCATCCCGGTTGCCATGGAGACAGATGGGCCCTTATTTGAAGATGTGCAGAGGCTGAGAAAGGCAGTGAGCGAAGAGGCTCGGCAGGTAAAAGTGCGCAGAGCTCAGCTGGGAGGCGCTCGCTGTAGATTTGCTTTGAAACGCATATAATTGTGTAGGTGAGGTGCTGTATGCAGAGCCTTCTGTGCCAGCCAGCGTTAAAAATTAAACTTCAGTAATCTCAGTGATCCATTTACTAGAAACAGTTTTTAAGAATTAAGTATGTGTCCGCAAGTTGTCTCTTCGTTTATTTTAACAGTAGTAATCCGTACCCGTAACTCTTTCAGTGTTAACTTGAGCAAAAATTCAAAAGCTTCGCAATAACGTCCTGCCGCTCTCCTTTCCCTCTTCCTCCCTCCAACTTCTGCTCTGGCCCAGCGGGTCCCCCTTAGTCCCCAGTTGTAGTGACAGCCAAGCTCAGCAGCCCAGACACCTGGTGGAGCTTTGTCTCTCTCCCCACAGAGAACCGCTCCGCCTGTGGGGCCTGTGCAGGGCCCAGGCTCTGGTGGGGTTCCTGGAGCTAGGGGCTCTGTCGGAACCACCACAGCTAGTACCCTTGCGTGAGCAGTTTTGTTTCCGCTGTGGTGGAAATGCCTATGTAGATCCCCACTAGTCCAAAGGTAGACTCTAATTACTGAATTGAGAACATATATACCGTGGGTTGTAGGGAGGGTAACGCACTAGCTCCTACCTTGTGCGACGAACCTCCTGGTGCTGTGCCTCTCTGAGCAGGCCTCCCCATTCCTATCCATGTAAGCTGGCATGGCCAGGGACCTGGGCCTCTGACTTCGAACTTTAATCCCCTCTCACCAGGGAAAGAGTTTCCAAAGACATCAGCACTGGGATTCTGACACGTGAGAAGTTAGCAGCTGGAGTTACACTGTGTACTGTGTGCAGTGGTTCCTAAGTGCTGGTGTCGTTTGGAGCTCAGTTAAACGGGGGTTAATCTGTTTGATTTTAAATCTTTTTTTAAATTACGTTCTTTTATTGATTTCAGAGAGAGGAAGGGAGAGGGAGCGAGAAGTAGAAACATCAAAGATGAGTCATCTATCAGCTGCCTCCTGCATGCTCCCCACTGGGGATCGAGCCCCCGAAGCCCTGAGCAGGAATCGAACCATGACCTCCTGGTTCATGGGTCAATGCTCAGCCACAGAGCCATGCCAGCCGGGCTTAATCTGTTTGATTTTAATTCAAGTAAATTGTATTTCCCACCTGGTCAGACAGGATCAGACGTTTCCCAGAGCATACGATCCAGACCGTCCAGACTGCACTGTCCTCCCCACAGCCACGCAGCTGCTGCACACTGAAATGTGGCCGTGGGCACTGAGCTGTGCTGTCACTCAGACTCGGGGATTCCCAGGCTTACTGTGAGGAAAAAAAGTAAAACATCTCATTCGTCATTTTTTATTATTATGTTAAAATGATAATATTTTTAATATGCTGGGTTAAATAAAACGTTAAAATTAATTTTACCTATTGCTATTGCTTTTTACTTTTTTGACATGGCTACTAGAAAATTTGGAATTACGTACGTGGCTGGCATTACCTTTTGACTGGGCAGCCCTAGTCTGGACTCTTTTTCTCCTTGGTGCTGCAAAGGAGGTACCGGCGCTGACCACAGTCACGCCACTTCCAACAGGGGGTATGGAGATGGTGTTTTTTGAGAACTCGTAACATGTTTGTTTTTATGACCTTTGAAATTAGATTACATAATGCAGTTTTTCATGTAATTGATATTCTTGCAAAAATTATTCTCCCACCCTTACCTTTAGATTTCTGTGGATCACTTCCAGGGTTGGGAGACTTGATGCCATTAAGATATCAGTTCTCCCCAAATTAGCACAATCTTAATCAAAGTCCCAGCAGCTTTTTTTTTTAAGAAATTGACAAGCTGATTCTAAAATTCATATGGAAATACTGAGGACTTAGAATAAATAGCTAAAATAATGCCAAAAAAATAATAAAGCTAAAAGATGAACACTCCTCAACCTCAAGACTTACTATGGATTTCTAGGGATCAATTGAATCCTCCTCCGATCTCAGCCCGTCTAGGTGAAGATATTTGTTGTGCAGTCTCTTAGGTATAACATTTGCTATGATAGACCTTCTTAATCTGAAAATGTTCAGTCATATTCCTGAAATGCTCAGAATACCGTTGTTAAAGACACTGAGATTCAGGGGGAAAATGTATGTAGCTAAAAATTAAGTCTTTAGTATTTCCAGTGCCTTTTTAATTTTATTTTCAGCTAATTTTATTTTTCCAAAATAATTCCACTTTTTTTTTAATGACTCAAGTGCTGGCTCAGGACATGGCACGTGAGGTAAATGATAGTACTGAGGGAGGGAGGGAGGCCCTAAGGCCAGTAGAATGTAGCTGGTTGGAATTCTGTGGAGAAATACAACTGTATGTTTACCTGTCAGACCATATTTGCATTTCTTTTGAGAAACTTGTATAACCCTACGGAGAGCATCTAAGAAAATTAGTAAATTTCATGTGAATGACATTTCTACCAGAGACATTTAAAATGTTTACAATTCTCATTTTGACAGTCGGTCGGGAGAAAAGCAGTGCCCGCCATGCAAATCAGGAAGGTGTAGAAAGACGGAGGAGGGAAGCACAGGTATTCTTTACTCCCCTGGAGAGTCTCTTTAAGGCTGTTCTGCTCAGGAAAAGGCTGACAAGCTCATGTCGTGGACATGAAGTATTTTCCCTGTCATTCCAGCTTGTGTGGTGAAGACCAGGAAATCTGTCCCTTAAGAAATTTTCATTAGTTCTGCCCTAATTTAAGTACTAAAAACACGCACAATTATGTGCACCCAACCCCCGGTGTTCTGTTACTCACTGTAAATTCAGTATCTTAGCTCTGCCTTTATGCTGCAGAGCAGGCCGTTCCTCCCGGCTTGCACCACAGCAGGACATCACAGTCATGCCTCTGCCTGTCTGTCTGTCTGTCTATTCCATGTGTCTTGTCTGTTCCACCCACTGCCCGCATGTCCACCAGCACGGCCTCTCCACCGAGTGTCCCTCACCTAGGTGACCATCTGCATGGTGTCTCCTGCTCTCCTGCTCCTGTTTCTCTGACTTCTCCATGTGGCTTGTAAAGTTACTCTCCGTCTTACACACCAATTAAAAAGCCTGCACAGAGCGTCTCTGCTGCACCCAGTACACCTCTGCCCTTTGAGAGCCCCGGGCCTGTGTGCCCAGTTTGCATCGGCTGGCTCCAGTGCCCAGGGCTTTGCTGTCGCCTTGGAATGCCTGTCCTGGCTTCGGGAAGTACTTCCAGGATCAGGTCCTGGTTTGTGTGGCTCGCTTCACTCTGTTTTGCAGCTCACCCTGAACAGGACGTGAACTCAGGTGGGACTGCCCTCTGAGTTCCCCGTCGTCGAGGCAGACCTGCTTCACAAATGAGGGCATCCTCACAAGCGCTATGACCACGACCGACAGGCTGCTGGCTTCCCTGGCACCTCACGCCAGTTTCCAGGGGAAAATAAAATCCCTGCCTTTACCATGAATGAATATTAACATTCAAGTAACATCATAGAAATAATCTTAAAATCATGTTACACAAACTTATTTCTAAACCCTGACTTTATTGCTGTTTCCGTAGCTAAATCTGCAAGGAACTCTAAGAAATAATAGCTCTGCAAAAAATTGTGAACTTTTTATGTATGACTTCCTCAGGTCCTTGAATTTTATTTTATTTTTTAAATCTATTGATTTCAGGGAGAGAGAGAAACATCAATGATGAGAGTCACTGATCAGCTGCCTCCCGCACGCTGCCAACTGGGGATCAGGTCCCCAACCCGGGCATGTGCCCTGACCAGGAATCAAACCGCCTGGATCCTAGGCCGATGCTCAACCTCCCAGCCACGCCCGGCCGGGCTGTCCTTGAACTTTTCATTGAAGCAAAGTTACGGACTATACCAAACTTAGGACTCTGGAGACTACAAGAAGCTGTTTTGTGTGTGTTTTTTTGTTAATCCACACCCAAGGATTTTTTTTCCATTGATTTTTATTTTTTTATTTTTTATATCTTTATTGATTTCAGAGAGAGGAAAGGAGAGGGGGAGAGAGAGAGAGAAATATCAATGATGAGAGAGTCATTGATCAAGCCCGCAACCCGGGCATGTGTCCTGACCGGGAATCAAACCCCGATCGCCTGGATCCTAGGTAGATGCTCAATCGCTGAGCCACTCCCAGCCAGGCTCCATTGATTTTTAAAGTGAGTGGAAGGGAAGGAGGGAGGGAAACATCGATGTGAGAGAGACATTGATTGGTTGCCTCCCACACATGCCCCGGCCAGGGCCAGGTATGAACCTGCAACCCAGGTACGTGCCCTTGACCGGGAATCAAACCCAAGACCCTTTGGTCCCTGGGCCAACACTCTCTACTGAGCCACACTGGCCAGGGCTGGACCACGGGAAGTTTTACCATTAAATTCTTTCCGTTGTCAAATGATTGACTTAAAACAAGTTTTCTCGGGTAGACGTTTGTTCCCCACCACAAAGCAGATTCTCCTCTGTAATGCTGTCTTCTTTCTGATGGTGACACTGGCAGGAAAGACTTGGCTCAGGTCCCCGTGTCTTACCGACAGTCTTCTGTATGTCCCTGGTATTTGGAGGAGTCAGACAGCTTGTCCTGTGTCCAAAGTACTGCTGCTGGTGCAGTGCCCTGCCTCAAACCTGAACGACTGTGTCACTGTGGTTCTTGGAAATGGCGCTTTGGGGGGAAATGCCCCATTCAGGCCCCTCTCTCTGCAGACACAGTCCTCCAGATTTTCCTGAGAAAGTGGGATTCTTTTAATTTTTTTTAAGTAAAACCCAAATGTCCTAGAGTTCAGGAAGAGAATGGGATGGAAAAGGGAGTCTTTTATTATACTTAATGTTGGGAAATTTTATGTAAATAATTAAAAGTTTTTCTAAGTTGTAGAGGGTTTTATCCTCTACATGACCTGCCTGATGTCTCCTAAAGTATCTTTTTCTAAATTTGATAGAAGTTTGAAATGTTTTAAACGGTTTTCATCTGTTTTATTTACCTACAGAGGAAATTTCCACTTTCTGAACTGCCTCTGGAGTGGACAGAGCCATAGAATGGGTTTGGGAACATTTTGCCAAATGGGAGGCGTTTACGATGTGTGGGATTGGCTCACCCTGGTGAATCTGCAGAACAGAGGCACTGAGCACTCTGTGCAAACTGCACGTCTTAGGAGACAAAGCACAGTGCCGTGCCCGTCCCTCCCTGGTCGGGACATTGTTTCTAACAGACGTGACGTTTTGGGGTAATGACCACAGAGGGAATAGTTGCCTCCGCCTGCCCCTTAGAGTGCGGAGGCCCTGGGTGTGCTGGCGCGGTGCGCAGCTGCCCCTCGCGACGAGGCTGACGTGCCCTCACTGCGGGGACAGCGTGGTTCGTAGCCAACGCGCTGCGTTTGTGATTCCAGGCACAGAAGGACCTGAAGAAGGACCGGGCTCTGATGCGCCGCAAGTCCGAGCTGCCTCAGGACCTCCACACCAAGAACGCCTTGGAGGCTCACTGCAGAGCCGACGAGCTGCTGTCCCAGGACGGCCGCTAGCCGCCCGCTCGGGCCGGGTTCTGTAGAAAACGTCCCTTCGTGCCATACAGATCAGTCACACTCAGAGTCAGAGCTTTCTTCGCCCCGTCCCGTGTCCGTCCCATAGGCAGTACGCACTCCCGCCCAGCTCGAGATCAGGAGTTCAAACAATGGTGACTCGGACCCAGGCCGCGCTGGCCACGCGTCCCCGCACGGTCCCAAACATGACAGCGTCCCAAATCAGAGCTAAGGCAAGTACCCCGGCCATCACCGTCACGTTCTACCCAGTGGAATGGTGATCGTTAAACTAGGTGGTTCTAAGAGAATATCACTGTCTTTCAAATCAAAGGAATGCTTTTAAAAAATATTTCATATTTTAAGACTTAACAGCCTTTGAACTTGTTTCCACGTGATTGTTTACACCAGCAGTTTCTTCTTTCTGGTTTTGGTGTTTTTTTTCAATTTCATTGAAATGGTTTTTTGCTGTCGTTCTAACACAGGAAAAGTGACAATCCTCAGCCGCTGTTTTCCTGAGGTACCCTCACTTTGAGTAACGGCAGGTACACGTGTCCGACTTCTTCGTGTATTTCTAAAGCCATATTTGCCCGTCGGTCCAGCCCCAGGACCCCAGGAGCGAGCTCGGGGGGAATGCATCCCGCAGCGAGCTTTCTGTCTCCTTGGCTAGAATTGGAATTTGAAACGATGTGCTCATTTTTGAGTTTGCAGAATTTTTTTCTGTACTTACACATTGTTGCCCTTTATCAAGGCTCTTGAATTAATAAAATGAGAGTCTCTAAGAATTCCACACTTTGTAGAAAGCTAGAACGAGGACATTTTGAGTAAAGCCAGTTCTTGGCTGAGTGCAAACGGCAGCTGCCTTTGGGCAAAGGTAACAACAGTAGCACCGTCTGCGCCGGGTGCTGGCGTGGCAGTCGCCGCTGTTGTGACGGTCCTGAGAGCTGAGGGAGTGACAGGGAGTATGACTTCAGGTGAGTCCTTATGTTGAAACGAGCACACATTGTATGCACCTCGTGAGGAAAATCCCGTCTGAGTTTTCATCAAATGCTGCTATATATTTCCCAGACTCCCTTGCATGTGTGGAGCTTCTCGTTTTCGATGGAATAGCACGAGGAAAATTCTTTAAACTTAGTGCTTTGTATGTTCTTTATTTCTCTCAGGGTGGCCAGTATCTTGACTTATTTATCCTGCTTGAAAGCTGTTTGAGATGTGTGCTGCTCCTCTACACAGCGGTTCTCCTTCCTTTTGTCTCGGCATATGATTAGATAACTTAATGTAAATGTCTCGATGCATCAGAGACACAGTGTGGCTTCTTTTAGGGTCTGTCTTCTAATCAAGGTCTTGGTATCCACGCAAACGCTGTAAAAGCAGACATCGCTCCCTGCCACTTAAGCCCGTGGGCGGTGTGTCCCGCGCCCTGGAGGACACCCACTCGGGGGAGGGCACTTGTGTGAAGCCCGCGCCGATCCGCGCCCGGCGGAGGGCAACCCGCTGGCGAGCAGACACGCTTCCTGAGAAACTTGACGAGTATCTGTCCAGTTACCATATGAAATTCACCATTTACAAAAGTTCAAATGCCTTCTCCTTCTGAGGGAAAAAGGGTGCTTTTTACTGTATAAAGCAGCGTCTCATGTGTTTTGATACCATTGTTTGAACTTCCGTCTTTGGCTGACAGATGCTCAGATACCCTTGACTCTGTATGCTCGGTGTGTTTGTGAGAGAGCTTTCTGGAAGACTCTTGCCCTAGGAAAAAAGCAAAATTTCACTGTTTGGGTGACTGTGTAAAGCTCAAGGTATAAGACATCTAGGTTTTATTTCTGCTCTTTATCGAAGACAAACATTCACCAAAAAGGGAAAAAAAGTTTTGCGAGAAACTAATTTACTTTGACAAGAGTATTATTTAATATTTTGGCCTATTAAAGGTTTCCTAGTTAGTATTCAGATGCCCTGTGCTAATTGTTCAGCTTATATATTATTATATAGATACGTTGTTTCTTCTGTACCAAACCGATTTCAAAAGTACTCCATTGACAATAAACTGGTGACTGTTTTTCTTCATAAAGTCCCGCGTTTGGCATCTTCACTTGTCCCCAGACGTCCCCGTACATCAGAAATGTCACTTTTCCCGTGTCTTTAGTGTGGCTTTAGTACAGCTTTCTTTTAATATTGTACATACATTGTATCTTTGTTTTATGGTAATAAGTAATAAAAATGTAGACTTCATATTTTGTACAAAATGTCCTATGTACAGAATAAAAAAGTTCATAGAAACAGCAAAAATAGGTAAGTGGCACAATTATTTTTCCTTAGAAAATATCTGTAACTTTATGCTTTAGTGAAATGTTAAGTACCTACATATTTTTTAACATTTTGTAACTCAAAACTTTTTGTTTTGACATTGTTTATGAAGAGGAACTTCATACACTTGCCATTTAATATGCTCTTTTATCTAATTTTAAAAGACTCTAAAAATGGTGTATTATATGGACTAAATAAAGAACATGTGAATTTTATCGCTCATCATGAAACTGCATGCAGCGTGGTGTTGGGCCAGCTGCTCTGACCGTGCCGAGTCTGTCAGGGTCCGGCCGCCACGCCCAGGACGCTGGCTGGAAGGTGGGGCCGGTGTCCCCCACGCAGCCCACGCTGAGCTTGTTCCGCTTTCTCACGGGAGAAGTAGAGGCGTCTTCGTATCGACCACCTCTCACCCTGAGCAGGCAAATGTGGATCGGAGCAGTTCGTGGAGATGGAATTATTAGAGCCCTGATCATGTTTAAAGTTCTTTTTTGTATTTGCTAATCCTCACAAGGACATTTTTTCCATTGACTTTTTTTAGAGGGGGGAGGGAGCGCGAGAGAGAGAAACATCGATGTGAAAGAGACACATGGATTGGTTGTGTGCACCCCAATCGGGGCCAGGGATTGAACCCAAAGCCCAGGTCATGCCCTTGACCGGGAATCGGCGCCTGGGCCGACGCTCTAGCCGCTGAGCAGCACCGGCCAGGGCTAAAATGATTCTTGAGACGCCATTAATGTCTGGGAAACAGAGTAGACTGGTTGAGAGTGAGTCAGGGGTCGGGGGTGACCCACCCCCTGCGCAGCGAGCTCACTGTCCTCACCGAGGCTGTTACTGAGAAGTGGACGAGAGGCGGCCCGGGATGGCGGTTTCATCCCCGCAGTTGCGCTTGAGCAACACTCCAGCAGGTGGGTTGTGACCTATATCCTGAGTGTTTTCATCTGTCGGGTGGTGTCAGTGACTCCTCCCATTGGAAGAAGTCACTCTAGGAGCCGGGTGCCCTGAAGAGACCGAGCCCCAGGTGGCGGCGGGTGGCCCTGGGACCTCCCCACGAGCCTGTGGCCTGAGCGTCTGGTAACCCTGTGGGGTAGTTTGGGAACCACACAATCCCCGCGTCCGCCCAGGAGCAGGTGCGCTGCAGCTCTCACACTGCGTCCCCACGCTCGGTGTCCCGCGTCCCGTCCTGAGGAGGCCACAGCGGTCAGGAATTCCGGAGAAGCAGGATGGAGGCGGGCTGCCCCCCGACCCGGCTTCTGCTGCACTTGTTCGCCAGCAAGAGGCCTGAGAGCAACGCTGAGCTGGCTCCATGGTCCTTCCCTGAGCTGCTCGGACGCTCAGCGGGGATGACAGTTACCCTTTCCTTACCGCCACCTTTAGCTTCAGCCGCTGTCGGTGCCTCGTTTACCTGTGAGTTCATGCTCACAACCCACCACAGGTGAGGAAACTGAGGCACGCAAAGGCTCAGCTACTGGCCCAAGGAGCCAGGTTTCAGCCCACGGCGTAGCCCGGGAGTCCCAGCCCCTCCCCACTGCGGACACTGGAAACACCCAGAGCATCTCAGGGGAAGGCCACCGATACGTGACGGGGCCGAGGGTGACCAGAGAGAGGCCGTGGGGCTGTGGTGTCACGGGGTGGCCGTGAACTCCTAGAACTGGAAGAACCTCAGAAACCATCTAGTCGGGTGGCCGGCGCCCACACTTCAGAAGCTATAGTTTTTATGTAAATTACATTCTGCAATATTTTAACTACTTTTTAAAAAGCACTGAAATGTACCAAATTTCAACACTTTGGAGACCAGCAGCTCATTAGCTTGTTTTCATTAACTTTGTACTAACATGAACCTATAAATTTATCAAAAATTCAGCTTTTATTTGTTTAGATGTGGTTTCACATAAGATTTCATGGGGGGAGGAGGGGTTCCACTACCAAAAAGTTTGAAATGCACTAAGATTAGCACTTTTTTAGAAACAGTAGTAGTTCCTAGAGGTGAAGATACAAGTATTCCCCCACTCCTGCGTGCTGTCTCTTGTTTTTCTGCTTTTTACAAAAGCATTATACAAATCCCACAGAAAGGCGTGGGGAGTGGGGTACAGAAACTCTAATTCACCTTTTCTGTCCGAAGCTTTTCCTGATCACATCCAGGAGCATGCAGGGTGGGCCGCCTGCAGGCGTCTCGGAGTCGGGCTGGCGAGGGCCCGCGGGTGTGGTGCTCGACATGCTATCGCGATGTGATTACTGCAAGTCCAGTTACCACCCGTCTCGAGTAATTACCAAGGCAGTTTCCGTAACAAGCAGCCAACAGCAGGCACTTTGGGTGAGCTCGGTGCAGTCGGGACGGAAGAAGAGCCGTGTGGACTGAGGGCCTTCACCCCAGGCTCAGGAGCGCCCAGGAACCCCCGGAATTATGTGTCTGTATCTTCTCTGCAAGAAACAGCGTTTATCAAATGGGTCTGTGTCCCAGGAGTTTCTATCACACTCCTCCC